TTCCCCCCTGTCGGCGTCCGGCCCCCCCCCCCCCCCAGGCGGGCTGGAGACCGAGAGTGACTACAGCTATGAGGGGCACCGGCAACGCTGCAGCTTCTCCTCGGACAAGGTGGCCGTCTACATCAACAGCTCAGTGGAGATCTCCCGGGACGAGGATGGTGTGTCCACCTCCGTGGGGAGTGGGCGGGTGCTCTCTGGACCCCCCCAGGTGGGGATTGGGGAGGGGGGCTGAGCGCAGCCTCTGACTCAGTCTCCCTTATGCCCGGCAGAGATTGCCGCCTGGCTGGCCAAGAACGGGCCCATCTCTATCGCCCTCAACGCCTTCGCTATGCAGGTGAGTGCAGGGCCGTCCCCAGCCCCAATACCCCCAGAGCTGCTGCCACCTTTGCTGACGCCCCGCACCCCAGAGGTGCATTTCAGCCCCAGGTCTCCCCTGCCCACCCCAGAAGCAGCTGCGTCTCTGTTCTGCTCAGCTACTGACCCCCCCCTCCCCCCAAGGCGGCCTCACCCCAGTGCCCTGTCCTGTATCCCCAGCCCCTGCCAAACCCCAGAGCTGGCCACATCTGTTCTACTTGGCTGTTGGCACAGCCAGCTGCAGCACAGACCTGGATTCTTGGCTCTGACCCCCCCCCCCCCACGCCTGCATCCCTGTCCTAGGTGAGGGCCCTGTGCTGATCCCTTGACAAAGCTCCTTATCACTTTCTCTCCCAGTTCTACAAGAGGGGGGTCTCCCACCCCCTTCGCTTGCTCTGCAACCCCTGGATGATCGACCACGCTGTGCTGCTGGTGGGATATGGCACCCGTGAGTGATGCCCCCCTCCCCCCACTGGGCTGAGGGCTGGGGCTGAGGAGCACCAGGGGGTAGGACTGGGAGTGAGGGGCACTAGTGGAGTGGGGGAGGTGGGGGGGTTGTGTCTGGAGTGAGGGGCACTGGCAGGGCTGGGGGGTAGGGGACTGTGGCTGGGAGTGAGGGGCACAGGCAGGGTGGCAGGGGGCTGCAGGTCAGGAGTGAGGGGCTCACATGAGCCAGCAGGGGGCACTGTGGCACCTGCTTGTTTGTCGTGGGGGGAGAACCCAGGTGTCCCGGCTCCCGGCCCTGGGCAGTCGGGCGTCGGGCAGCCCTTGCCCCTGGCTCTAAGGGACCAACTAAGAACCCAACACCCCGTTATCTCCCAGGGGGCCGCACGCCGTACTGGGCCATCAAGAACAGCTGGGGCGAGGACTGGGGGGAGCAGGTGAGTGCAGCTGGGAACCTCTGGGTCAGCCCCCCCCCCCAGCCTGGGAACCCAGGCATCTGGGCTCCCATCCCCCCTGCTCTCCCCCCTTCCAGAGCTGTGGAGAACTTGGGCATGTGGGCTCTGGGCCCCCTTGGGCTGGCTGGGTGGGGGGGGGCTATGTTGTGGGGGGTTTAACCCCTTGCTGTCCTCTCTCCCCAGGGTTATTACTACCTGCACCGTGGCAGCCGAGCCTGCGGCATGAATACTATGTGTAGCTCCGCCCTTGTGGTCTAGGCCCTGCCCCCTCACCTCTTGCCCTGCCCTCACCCCCCCCAGAGAGAACCCAGGTGTCCTCCAAAGGGGCGGGGGGCGCAGAATCACTGCACTTTAGAGTCTAATCTAAGCTTGGGGGTGGCGCTAGACCTCAGGCCCCACCCTTCCATCTCCATTGGCTGCTAAGCCCTGACCCCTGGTTTCCCAGCATGCCCAGTTCCTCCCAGTTGGAAAGGGTCACTCATACTGGTACTAGCCCTTCCCCTACTAGTTAGCAATTGGGATCTCGGGGGTGGGACTGGGCGCAGCACGGTGGGAACCCAGGAGTGCAGGCTACCCCTTCCCCAGTGATGGGCTGGACCTGCAGGCACTTGGCCCCTGCATGCCCTGGTTCTCTTCCCCAGCTGGGGTGAGAAAGCAAGCCCAGCCCCTCTGCCCCTTCTTGGGGAATGCACACGCATGTGGGTGCATGTGTACACATATCTGGCTGCGCTGGGAAGGGGTATCCATGTGCACAAAGGTAGCATGGATCTCTGCATGCATAGGGTAGTAAGCAGGGGTGTGCGTGCACATGCTGGGAGTAGTGTGTAGATGTGACGTGTGCATGGGGTCTGTATGTATGTGTTCATATGTTCAGGGAATCATACATGCACATGTGCATAGTGTGTACGTGGGTGTGGACATGTTTGGATAGTGTGCATATGTGTGTGCAAGTATGTACATGCATGTGGATTGCAGTGTACATGCGTGCACGTTTGTGGTATTGCGTACATGCACGTGCACAGTATACATGTACAGGGGTGTGTGCTGATGATACACAGGCAGTCCTCGGACTCACGACACAATTGGTTCCTGAAAACTGTCTTAAGTCAAAACGTCATAACTCAGGACCAATTTTCTCATAAGAAACAGTGTTATAAATGGGGGATTGGTTCCTGAACCAAGACCCGGTACTCTGTTGTCACCAAAAATACCCCAGAATTTGGTACTCGATCAGTTAGAGATGAGTAATATAGCTACATTAATGTATTTATACTGTAAATAGTGATCCTGTTGATTTGGAAGGATGTCTTTGAGGTGACTTTGCTGGAATTTTTGAAAGGATCTTGGGTGGATGTTTTGAAGGGCTCTTGGCTGGAGTCTTCTCAGGAATCCTGGCTGCTTTCTTAAAGAAAGTGTCCCAGGAAGTTAGGACAGACGTTCTCTAGGGTGTTGGGTGACACAGCGAACTTGTTCGCTGGCATGGCGTCGCATCGGATCAAGCGTTGTAAAGTCAAAACTGGCGTCATAAACTTGAAACAGGGTGTTGTTCTAAACATTGTAAGGCGAGGACTGCCTGTACATACATGTGCAATAGGGTGCGTGGTCTTTCACATGGGTTTGTATGTGCACGTGGGAAGGTGCAAGTATGGCTGTAGCATGTATTCTCACGTTGGGGTGGCAGGTGCACATGGGGGACAAGGGTGCAGGTGTGGTGTGTACACATGCCACATGCAACCTCATGTGCACACGTTTTGGGGTGGCATGTGCATGCAGGGCTGTGCACATGGGGTGTGAATGGGTGCACATGCATGGGAGAAGCTGTAAGCGTGTGGCATGAATCTTCCGTGTGCTCTGTAGGGTACAGACACGGCTGGTGTGTGCCCATGTAGAGGGCCAAGGATCTGGGGTGCAGGCACATGCTGTGTGCACACGTTCCTCGCGGGGGGGTGCTTGTGTGCACACATTCCCATGTAGTCAAGAAGTAAGTGTGTGGCTGGTGATGGATACGAGGGCAGGGATAGGAGGTGCAAGGAGCTGTGGCGGGTGCATGTGTACACCTGTGTGGGCAGGCGTGTGTATGTGAGAGCCACACGTGTGCACATCCCCACGGGACCCCAAACACTAAGTATTACTAGTATTAATCCGAGTTGACACGATATGGTAATCCCAGGGGGTAGAGCTCAAGGCAGAGGCGTGGCCAATAGAGAACCCGCCCCCTCTCTTTGTAGCTCCGCCCCCTCCTCCCCGTGTGACGCAGTAGCGCCTCTCCTTAGCACTATCCCCTGGTTCGCTCAGGACACAGGAACTGAACTAACACGCTGCACTTTGCGTTAGCGCCGGGGCGCAGGGAGCACGGCCTCCTGGCCTCGTACGAATTAGCTGCACTAAGCGCGGCAGCCAGCTGGCTGCTCCTGGGGCAGAAGCCTGTGCTCGGCGCGTGCTTCCACCCGGGCTGGATCTTCTACCGGATTGGACCGCTGGTCCTCCCAGCCCTGGCTCTCCTCGGCTCTGATTGGCTGGTGCCTCCCTCAGGGCAGGGGCGAGGAAACCCGCGGGAGCGGGGGCTGGAGGGCAGGGCGGGATCTGCCGGAGCCCCGTGACCGCGTGTGCCAGGCTGCTAATAAACGCCGCGTGCCCCAGCCTCGCCTCGCCTCGCCTCCGCGCGCAGCGCCTGGGGCCCCGGGGGGCGGGGGTGGGGGGGGCGG